AGGGTTCCTTTCAAGGGTTCCTTTTTTGAGGGGCTTCTTTCAAGGTGTGTCTTCAAGGATTCAAGGGCTCCTTTTCAAGGGCTCTTTTGAAGCTTCCTTTAAGGGATTTCGTGAGGGTTAGGGTTGACGGTTTGGGGCAACGTTCACGGTTTTCAGGCGCCCCTAATCTTGGAACCCCATGATCTGAACGGATTGGGGTTGTTCGTGGTGAAGTGCAGTTCAGAAGAACACAGCCGGAGTTACTTAGCTGTGGGTTTCGAGCTCTGAGACAAAGCCAGCCTACAGCCAATGCGCGAAAAACCTCTTAACCCAAGCCCCTACTTGGAGGATCATNNAAGTACCTTAATCGGGGTTCTAAGTAGTTATAAGTAGAGTTATCCTCATAATAACCCCAGTTACTAAGTCCCATGATCCTTCAAGTACGGCCCCCGGACTCCCCCAAAAAACCTGAACCTGAACATCAATCCCTGAAGCACCCTACCCGAAAAAAACCCTGAACCTGAGCATCAATCCCTGAAGGACCCTACGAGGTCAAGCAGAGCTTCCAGACCCAGATGCCGCCATCTGCCACTTCCAGGCGCCTGGGCGGTTCGAAGCTCGGGCTCCCTCTGTTTACTTCTGGTACTTGCAGGATCATGGGACCTAGTAAGTATGGTTATAAGTACCCTAATTGGGGTTATAAGTAGGTATAAGTATAGTTCCCCAAATAATAACCTTAGTTACCAAGTCCCATGATCCTTTAAGTAGAGTTTGGGGATTAAAGGTTTTAGGGATAGGGTCATGGGTTTGGGGGACTTGCCTTGGGGTTCGGGGCTTGGGGGGTTTAGGCTACCTGCCTTCAAAGGTTAAGTTTCTAGGGCTTAGGGTGTCTAGGGTGGAGTTTGTCAACGGACAGATCGGTGCAGTGGCGGAGGTCCCTTCTCTATTTCAGGCATTCTAGTAATTAGCAATTAAAGGACTACGGTACAGGGCTATCCTTCAAAACTCAACCCTGACAAAATGTGCTTCCCGGGAGCCTCGATTGCTGTTTGGAAAAAGGAGCAAACTACTTCGAACAACTCCGAACCCTAAAGCTTCAAGAACAAAAGACCCCACAAGGCCACGAGTGAACGTCGTGTGGCACAAGATGTCTGACCTACGGTGGCTTGCCAGGATGCGTTTTCCTTACTGGGGATTGCCCAGAGAGCCCAACACCCCTTAATTAAGCAATATACCTTAAACTATAAGGGGCTTCATATTATGATTTAAGGTAGATTCCCCTAAACCCTAAACTCCTTAATTAAGGGGTATTGGGATCTCTGGGTGAACCCAGCCCCTGGCAAGCGTTGGCTCCTTTCAAAGGTGTTACCCTCTTGCTCTCCGAGGATCTGGGACATAGCCATAGGCCCCATAGTAGTTCCTTTTTGGGATTACCTTATAGGGTTTAGGGTTTAGGGCTTAGGGTTCTAAATATGAACCCCAAAAAGGAACTACTATGGGGCCTATGGGTAGCAGGTGCAGTTATCCAAATGAAGATACGTGCGTTCGATCTAGGGCTTTTGGGTGTGTGCGCGTGTTGGAATCAGGGCTGTGAGGACTTTTCAATCGACACGACCGATAGTCCGATAGTCGTCCTCGCCGGTGAGGGCACTTCCGCATTGTTGTGCCGTTCGGAAAGTTGTGGTTGGAAGCAACGCGGAAGCATACTTAGCAAGTCTTGAAGCGCTGATGTTGCAGGCCCACTTTGGCACTTTTCGTAAACCCTAAACCCTAAACCTGGTTCCTAGTAGATCTTGAGCCTGCGTCCCGGACTGAGAGCAAATCCGCAAGGTTGCATGATCACGAGCCTGTGTCACGTGCTCATTTGGAGCAGCCTCGGCTACCTGTGGTTCACATGCATGTGGCTTCGCCTGCAAAGCATCATCGGATCTTCGGGTTTAGGGTTTAGGGTTTAGGGTTTAGGGTTTAGGGTTTAGGGTTTAGGGTTTAGGGGTTTAGGTTATGGTTTCCGTGAAGACACGACGCTTCTAGTCCTTCTTTGTCATTATTCCCCATAATACTTAGGGGCACTTAGAAATAATTTTTAATCTTCGGCTACTATAAACCCTAAGAAGCAGCTAAAATTATAATTTTTGCTAGGGGTCTAAGTTCAGTATAGATTCCCCAGAATAGAGAAGATTCAAAGAGACCCTGAGGGGTCAAGGTGGAGGGGGTTTAGGGTTTAGGGTTTAGGGTTTAGGGTTTAGGGGTTAGGGGTTAGGGGTTAGGGTTTAGGTGGAGGGGAGGGACTGGGGAGCCTCAGTGTCCACAATTACTAATGAGGTCCAGATAATGCCTTCGGGTGCGCGGTCGTGTAAACAGGATATTTTCGAACCTCTTCGCGAGGAGTCGGCGTAGTCGGATGTGGGGTTTTTTCGACTTCGAAGCCCGGGTGGAGAGAATGGGCTCTGAATTTCGGAGGGTGAACAGTCACTAAACCCTAAACCCTAAACCCCTAAACCCTAAACCCCTAAACCCTAGACCCTAAACAGTAGACCAGCTCAAACCCGAAACCCTACACCCCAAGCTCCAACACTGAAGCTCCTAGCTGCAGCTCTAACCGACACTAACGTAGGTGTGCCTTATATGGTTTAGGGTTTAGGGTTTAGGGGTTCAGGGGTTTAGGGGTTTAGGGTATAATAATTACCTATCATATTTTGGGGGCTCCCTATTATATTAAGGCTTCTACATAAACCCCCGTGCACTGCATTCGTGGGGAAGCTCGATCAGTCCAGCCCTCGTGCAGCTGTTGCAACACCAGTGCGAATGAATCTACATTCACTGACCTACTGCTGATGATACAAGTCCTGCATTACCTTAAGGGGCCCTAAACTACGGGAATTATGGTACATTCCTCATTATGGGTAATGCAGGATGTATACCATCAGCCGTAGGAGCCAGTAGTAATGCAAAGAGAGCTTTGTCCCGACCGGCGAAGTATTGCTCAGCTGAGACGACACCGATCACCCTGCACTCGGCCATACTACGTATTTCTCATGCCTGTTTTCAAGATATTGACAAGGATGTGTTCATCGATCTAGTTTTGTGCGTGTCATCCATTGCGCAGGGGCCATGCTAAGACGGTTTGTTTAGCTCCTGGCCTGCCCGCTAGCCACAATCTGTGCGGGGTCGCAACCTGCAAGCGCGGACCACCAGTTGGAGGAGCTTTGCGGATTGTTCGTCATAATCACCAAAACCCAAACCGAAAAAGGGTCTGTAAATGATTACAAGTTTCAGCACACGAAGCCTTAAACCCCACAGAAATAGGCCCGGAATGCAATTGTTGCCACCATGAAGAAAACACATCAATCATCTTGCCGAATAGAGGGGCACTAACTTCTTCGTGGCCCCCTCGGCTACGCCGTTATGATCACTGCAGCAGCATTTGCAATCGACGACATTGGCAACCATTTCTTGTCATCCGGCATCGCACTTAGGAAGCAGTAGGTACACGTTGTGGGGCATTTCAGGTTCAGATTTATGCAAGTTATTGGGTCAGGAGTTTAAAGTCTCGCGTATTCGTTCGCATGTATATTCACGGTCGCAGGAACTGGTTACCTGCTCATGTCAGAGAGACAATGCTTGCATCACGATGGTGCATTGCATTAGGGAGACGCGACGATTCTGCCATAAACACTTTGGCATGAACATGTTGCATGCAACATGCCCTTGGGGCATGAGCCTTGAGCCTTCGTTGGTTCTCCAAGGATACATTCTCCAAGATAAAGTCGACTCGTCTTTGCACTTGCAGTTGGCAGAATGTGGCGTTAGTGAGAGGCACGGGTCTCGAAGACCGCATGCAGATGTTTGGAAGGGGCTGCCGCGTCACGAACCGTAGAGGGCCATAGTCGCAGTACAACGTCAACGTGCAGCGACGACCTCGTAAGTAGCGAGCACTGTACATGGAGCTTCACATCCCAGGCAAAATTTCACGGCATGCTTGTTGTGTGATGCTGTGTTCCAAAATTGGAAGATGTCAATCCTAGCTGTATGCACTGGCGATGTCACATGGCCAGTGCACGTTCTTCAGACAACAACGCTCGTACCAATGCCACAACACGTTTGTTGGGTGCCCATGCGCATGTTTCGAATGACGGCTGCCGTTCGGTGCAGCCTGCTTTTTGGTGCCCGTCTCAACCTCATCGGCCCATCATCCCAGGTGTTCGATCCGTTTTGGTTCGGCTACACTCGGTTGGGCCACTTTCGAAAGACGGGGTCCGTACGTGGCCGCGCCTCGAGCTGCAAGACCGGATTTCCGTTCTGTGTGTGCCGCTTCCGGTGTCCGCTGTTTGCAGCCAAGGCTTCTGGTTGGAATGCGTGGAAGATCTCCGAAACTCCCTCGAGACACGAGGAGCCTGACTTTGGGAGATGCCATGTCTCCCCATGGCCAGTGCGCACGTCTCAAGCATGGGCCCTCATTGCGTCCCCATGATCCGATCGCCGTGCCCGGAAGCTGAGAGTTCCCGACCTGGTGAGGACAGCACCTCTTCCTCAGATTTGGCATGCGACCGGGCTTTGAAACTTTTCGGGTTTCAGAGCTTCAAGGCTCCGTTTGGGGTTCCTTACTGCGTAGGCTTTCAGGCTATAAGGCATGGCAATAGCACCGAGGTTCCTGTCACGGGAAGCTAGCTAAAGTGCACACACCTCTGTTCCACTTAAGTCGGGCACAGTCCATTGGAGCACTTGCAAAGATTCTCGGTTAACTTTTTATGACCTAGAGTAAGACTATCCCTTATTGTAGTCACCATGTACAATCACAATATCAGAACAACTGCAAGTTGTTATTGCCCAAACTGTATACAACCCACAGAAGCTCTCAAAACAAGCGACGCCAGCCTTACAGAAATTTCTCGTGTAACGGTCCTAAGTAGCTCCTAAATAGCTCCTTTTCAATACTTAAAGGATCATGAGACTTACTAACAAAGGTTATTAGGATAACTATACTTCTCGCCCCAATTAAAGTACTTCTAATCCATACTTACTAAGTCCCATGATCATCCAAGTAGACCCTAAACCCTAAACCCTAAACCCTAAACCCTAAACCCTAAACCCTAAACCACAACCCTTAACCATACTTACTAAGTCCCATGATCATCCAAGTAGAGCTCCCAAGGTCTGCAGCCGCAGCATTGCAGCAGCTGACTGCCCAAGTCCAGCCTCTTGCCATGGTACTGTTTCGTGCATTTGGTGTTATTTGAAGGGCTTGTTTAAAGTTCAACAGGTCTTGCAAAGGTTCCATGCAAGGCCTTTTTAAGGTCCGAAGTTTCGTAGAAGGGTTCTATGACCGTTGTGAAGGAGTCGAGGGTGCGATATTTTCGGGATCTTCCCCTCTGCGATTTCGATAAACTCACACAGTCACACCACTTGTCAGGTTTAGGGTCGAGGGGTCAAACCAGCACCCTTGTCCGGGTTCTGTACTCTGCTCTATTGAAGATCGGTCCTTAGTACAGGCGGCTTGGGTAGGTGCCATTATGATCAGTAACTCCTGCGATACGTAACGGCGAGTACTTAAGTACCCTGGAGGGTTGCTTTTGACATCGATGCGACTTGTCGTGCTCGTTAGCATCGCTTTGGAGATCTCCTCAACTCCGCGGCTGCAGGATCGCCACAGTCTTCACCTTTGCGGAGGTCTGCTCTGACCCTCTCCGCAACGAAACGTAGCTTCTGGAGGCTGCCGTTGAAGCAGGCTGCCCGAAAAGCGACCATTGAAACCCGACCCCGAAACCCGAAACCCTAAGCCTTACTGGGGTGTCTTTCCCTCTGTCCCACCTTCTGCAAACTGAAGATCCCATTGTTTGGGGATTGTCGATGTAAGGAAGAGCTCCAGCAAGAGGCTGAGTTCGAGGAAGCTTTGCGACAGATTGGAGGCTCTGCCAAGCTCGTGCGCTGCACTCTGGCTGGCATTTCCTACAACATAGGGTCCTCCGATTTAGGGGTTGGGGTTTGGCGGGTGGTCCATGGCGCCCTGAAGCTACCCTGAAGTACCACTGCGCTGAAAGCCTTTCAAGGCTGGTGTTCATAGGCAGAGTCTGCTGACTATGCTATTGTCATTGAGGTCGGTGAACTCTGAAGCCTTTCTCATAAACCCAGGAAGCCTCGAGATTCGCTTGGAAGCCGTAGACAAGACCTAGTCGGATATTAATACTACAGTCCCTACATAGAGCCTTTTTGAGGAAGCCCTAAACGCTAACCCCTATATCCCCCATATTCAATCCCCTAAGCCCGAGACCCTAAACCTTACCTGGACCCTAAAGAACCTACCTTTGTAGGGTCCCTTTTTATGAATTCTTTTTATAAGTCCTTAAAAAGGTAGGTTATTTGAGGTTAAGGTAAGCCACAAAGAGCCTTTTCGAGGTTGGGGTTACACTTTGCACCACATCGACGACCTTGCGCAGGGCTGTGGCAAGCCACCGGAGCGGCTCGGCCACGCAAACTGTGTATTAGGGTTTAGGGTTTAGGGTTCAATGGTGGGGTTCAGGGTTCAGGGTTTAGGGTTTAGGGTTTAGGGTGTAGGGTTTAGGGTTTAGGGTTTAGGGTTCAATGGTGGGGTTCCGGGTGTTTTGAGGTTTGTAGGGGTATTTCAGGGTTTAGAGTTTTTTCCGGGTGTTGTCGGGGTTTGGGGTTGGGTGTTTGGGATCTGGTGGGTTTCGGGGTATAGGGGTTCAGGGGTCCGAGAGGGAGCGGCGGTCCCTACCCAAAACTCTTCAGTAACAATGACATATGGGTGGTTGTCAAAATTATGGTCCCTTTTTGGGTCCTTATGATAATACGGCACATATTATTTAGGGTACCCCAAATGGGACCATAATTTTGACAACTACCCATATCTTTCAGCTTTGGGTTTAGGTTTAGGGTTAGGGTTCAGGTGATGGGTGTAGGGTTTAGGGTTATTAGGTTGCAGCGATTGACGGAAGACGTGTCGGTAGGCTTTTCAACTCGGTCAAGCGCTGATCCTTCGGGGACTGGGGCGTGGGCAAATCCTCTCCTGACGGGCCTTAGGGCCTAGCCGATGTTTTGTTGATAGACTTCTTTTCCACCTCGGAATGGCGTATACAACGCCGAAACAAGTCAGTTTCTGCCTGGCTTGCATGCTACGAGCAGCGGAAAGCATGAACGACCCAGAGGATCAACCCAAAAGCCCTGGGGTTGCACAGTGGTTTGTTTGGCAACTCAACTTGAATGGCATCCTGTGCGTTCACAGTCCTCAAGAGACCTGAAACATCCTGAAACACTACACCGCCTACACCCTCTCATAGCCTCCTACTTGGAGGATCATGGGACTTAGTAAGTATGGTTATAAGTATTTTAATTAGGGTTATTAGTATAGTTATCCGAAAAATTGCCTTAGCTACTAAGTCCCATGATCCTTTAAGTAACCCCGAAAGCCACGTGAGGAGGTGGATCAATCCGTCCCTGTCCTTCGGCGCCTTTAAGCGCGAGATGCGCAGCTGCAGGGTCCGCCCGGTGGCGGCTGAGTGGCAGCACCTGCCAAAGTCAGGAGGCCACGGAGTTTTCTCATGGCTCTTAGGTTTTTGCGGGCTTCAGGCTTTTGGGGCTGGAGGGTTTAGGTGTAGGGCTTTCGAGGTCACTGTGCCTCTTTTTGAGGGGGGGGTCGTGTAATAGGAGGTTCTTGGCCTCTTTTGCCATGCCAGGGCTTTCCAGACCACCCGATGTGGACGAGGCATGGTGGGGGGACGCACCTTGAGCGGCAGTTTTGATCATTAGGCTTCCCAGAGAACACTGGAAACCCCTGTATAGGAACACTCCTTAAATCCTCAAATCATATCACATCATACCACAACCCTAAACCCTAAACCCTAAACCCTAAACCACAAACTGTCTGTGTTTTCACTTCAAGCTGCTACTCCTCCTCCCTTGGAGATCCTGGGTCGTTCTTGCCCTAAACCGCAAACCCTAAACCCTAAACCCTAATGGGTTCTGGGTCGGGGGTGTCGTCTGGTGTGCCTTCTGCGAAAGCGGATTCTGCCGACCTTGACTGCTAGGTGGAAAAAGGTGCTTAAAAAAAAGATGGGTCGTTCTTAGGTCCCTTCGCTGGCAGCCCTGGGCTACAGCCGGGAGGAGCTTCAGGAAGCGGAGGCCGCTTGAATTTGCTTATGGTTTAGGGTTTAGGGTTTAGGGAGTTGCTTATGCAGTCTCGGGTTTTATTGGGGCTTCTTGGAGTCTAGGGTTTAGGGTTTAGGGTTTTTTAGGGCTTCTTGGAGTTTAGGGTTTAGGGTTTTTTTAGGGCTTCTTGGAGTCTAGGGTTTAGGGTTTAGGGTTTTTTTTAGGGCTTCTTGGAGTCCAGGGTTTAGGGTTTAGGTTTTTTGTTTAGGGCTTCTTGGAGTCTAGGGTTTAGGGTTTATTAGGGCTTCTTGGAGTCTAGGGTTTAGGGTTTCGGGTTTTTTAGGGCTTCTTGGAGTCTAGGGTTTAGGGTTTAGGGTTTTTTAAGGGCTTCTTGGAGTCTAGGGTTTAGGGTTTCGGGTGTTTTTAGGGCTTCTTGGAGTCTAGGGTTTAGGGTTTAGGGTTTTTTAAGGGCTTCTTGGAGTCTAGGGTTTGGGGTTTAGGGTTTTTTAGGGCTTCTTGGAGTCTAGGGTTGGGATTTCTCACCATCATTCTTGGCATTTGCCACTCGGGGTGAGCAAAATACTCGGTCCAGATGAACCAATGCCCTAACCCCTGACCTCGTCAACCTTCAGCAGGAATCCTAATAGGAACTCCATAAAGAAGCCGAGCAGGAGCCCAAAATGAATGGAGCGCTTTCCAGGAGCTCGACCAAGAACCCAAAACCCTCAGCCTCAGCCCGAAAAGCACTAAAGCCGAACCGGTAGACGACGTAGACCTAAAAATAGGGGCCTTAATCATTAGAATAGGGTCTTGGGGCCCATTCTGCCATAATTATATTGAGGAACCCCCTAAAATCAGTATAGGTCATCATTTCGGCCCCTACATCAGGAGGCGCGCCGCCTCTCCGCGATCCCGTGGCGCGGTGGGGAGAGCCTGGCGCTGGCCCGGCTCCAGGCCACCCCGAGGGCTCCACGGGAAGATGCATCATGTAGGGGCTTAAATAATTACCTATACAATTTTCGGGGCTCCTTAGTATAACTATACTATAATGGGCCCCAATACCCTATTCGAATTATGCACTTGGAGGACCATGGGACTTAGTAAGTATGGTTATAAGTACCTTAATAGGGGTTATACAGATAGTTTTAAGTATAGTCATCCTAAGAATAACCTTAGTTACCAAGTCCCATGATCCGTTAAGTAGACTGCCTTTGGCCGCAAGGCCCTGAGGGCTCGCGGGGGTCAGGGTGACTCAGGGTTTGGATGCCAGGAAATCCGGAGGCTTTCGGAGACCACAGGAGAGTTGTTCGTGACAGCTTCGCTCTACAGCACTGTGTGTGAGGAACGCCTGCTGCTTCCGTTAAGCTGCAGGCTTCTTCAAAAGCTCAGAAGCTGAGGTGTGCATGTTCAACCCGAGTGCCTCACCGTCCAACCTGAGGCCTACATCTGGGACCGCCGAGCCCTAAAGCAGAATCTGGGCTTTGGAGTACCATACTTTAATACTTTTTTGGGGGACCTGTTCCTTAAAGGAACCATTATAGAATAAACGTCTATACTTTTTCCTCCCTGGTTACTTCAGAGCCCAGGTATGTGGGCACCACCGATTGGACCGCCAACGGCAAGTGCACGGCTCCCAACGACCAAACCTCCAAGCTGCTTTGCTAAGAGCCCGGAGTGCCCAGAGATTTACCGGATCAAGGAAACCCTACCTTAAAGGATCATGGGACTTGATGACTAGGGTTATTATTAGGGTAACTATACTTATAACGTCCTTATAACCATACTTACGAAGTCCCATGATCCTCCAAGCAGGTAGGCCTTTGGGACATTGTATGTTGTCCCTTGTTGGGCTTCGGAGGATCTGATTTAGAGAACAGTTCTCAGCGGTTTCAAGGGCCAACCTACGTACTTAAGCCATGGATTCCCTACAATATAGGGGGTAATGATGTTGGAGGCCCTCAACCCTCCAAAGAGACGGTGTCGCTTGTATTCCGTGCCGTAACATGGCGGTCTGAATATCTGGCATCCACGCAATCGCTATTCAAATTGTAAACAGAATGCAACCCTCACGGAAAGCTTTCAATTTTTGAGAAGTCTTGAAGAATTCCATACAAAGCCGAGTACACAAGCGCCCTCGATTGCAAGCGTTGTACAAAAACCCTCCAGAACCCCAAAGAGACTCCTGATAACCCTAAACCCTAAACCCAAAACCCAAGCTGAAGGTTATCTCCCTACTTGGCCTTTGGCTGCTTGTCTCCCCGCCTGCTGTACTGGGAGATCCAGCGCTTCGAGAAGGGAGACCGCTGCCTTCCAGCTAAAGCTCTTGGAAAGGTGGAGGGTGTAGGGTTTAGGGTTTAGGGTTTAGGGAGCTACAGTAGGGGGTTTAATTTTGGGCTTGGAGGCATCGATGTTTGAAGGGTTTATGCTGTAGTAGATGCTTATAGGAGTTGTTTAGATGTTTGCCGAATTGAGGGTTGAAGGTTTTGCGGTTGAAGGTTTGCGCAGAGCTGTCCAGCTCGGAGACAGCTCGAGAAAGCCCTGTACTGTGCCCTATGCTTCTGGGTTTAGGGTGTAGGGAGCCTGTCCACCACCTAGAGTCTTATAAATTCCTTAATATATATTTGCAAAGAAAAGGAACTACAATGGAGACTATAGGCACAGTAAGCATCCCTCTATAAAGGTTAGGTGCGAATGCCTCAAATTGTATAAAAAAGATGGCTCAGGGTTTAGGGTTTCGGGTTTAGGGGTTTAGGGTTTAGGGTTTTCTTAGGGTTTAGGGTTTAGGGATTTCAGGTACCTGCCTGAGCCAGATGTCCTTGAGGGTAGGTCTCTGCAAAAAAAGCTGCAGTGGTGCGGCCCAAAAGATGCCAGGACCTTGAACCCTAGCGTCTGCTTACAGTTCATGTTTAGCGGGACTAGGGAAGTGATTTTTCGAGAGCCACACTGGAAAAAAGCTCAGCTCAGGCAAAGGTGCCAAAGGCTTGATTAACTCCCTTCTCTGGCGCGACTTCTACCGCTTCATCGTCCACTACGCCTGGGGAAACCGGTGTCGAGTCTAAGATTGGCCCTAGGACTCTAGGACTGTTTGGCTTCATGTTTCAGGTTTCAGGGCTCAGGAATGTTCAGGAATTAAGCGGCGTCGAGTCTAAGATTGGCGCTAGGCCGCTAGGACTGTTTGGCTTCATGTTTCAGGGTTCAGGAATTCAGGAATTAAGGTGCAGGTTTACAGAGACTCGCTTCTCAGAACGTTCTGTGTTTCGGGACTTGGGAGATGTTATGAACTCAACTTCTCAGCCCAAGCGTTGCGATGCCTGCAAGCCTTCAGTCGCTTCATCGGACTTGACGTGTTCCCCAGCGCCCTACTCCCGACAATGAGCGTCACGCTTCGCTCCTGAGCACCTTTGGTCCGCTGAGGATGTATCATCTATACGGCCCCATGAACTGCGGCTCCGTCCCGGGCGGCCACAAGACACCAACCAAATGGTGGCCCGTCAAGGGTTGCAGCTCTTGGAGCTTTGCTTTTCACGTGGCGCTCAAGAATCAATAACTCGACGAGAAGAATGCGTACCAATGCCCTCCCATGAAGTCGAGACAGAACCACAATGTAACAAACCATAAAAATACCCCAGCGAAGCCTCGTCGAACTATCCTCAGGCCACTGCAACATTCCTTCCCCTGAGAGGGAGAGAAGCCTGAATTTCCGAAAACGCGGCGAGGCCTACTGCTTCTTCATTCCTGGCTCTCCTAAAGTGGACGTCATTGAGAGGGTCTATATCCCCAAGGGTCCCCCTAATCCTAACTCCTATTCATGTCCCCTCTCCATCTGAGGTGCTGCAAGCACTACAACAATCTCTTCGGAGGCCGCGAAATCTCTCGGCTATTGCGATAGAATTATCGTGACGAATGATATACGACCCTACTTCATGATATGTCTTTGGTATAGTATAGTCCAGAGCATCACGCACTATGGCTATGATGGTACGTGGTAGAAGCTACCATCCTTAAAGTACTGCTGTCATGTTCACGTCGTCTCAATAGCCGATACACTGCACTCTATGGTGCTGCTTTTGTACTCTAGACTTCGACCATCTCGACCTAATCCTTAGGGCCGAACCAACCAATTGCTGGGTACTTTGGGCTTAGGGTGTTGCAGGCCAGTCCTAAACCCTCATCACTCTCCACTAACTTGGCCTTCTAAACATACGTATGTATATATATATATATGTATGTATACTTGTATATATATATATACATATATATATATATATACATATGTATATATATATATAAAGGTGTAGGAGTTTCAAGAATTCAGAAGAAGGGGCACCTTGCTAGGGACCCAAACACTAGGATACCGCTAGGAGGCCCCAGGGCCCAAGGAGACTGCAGCCGCACAGGTCCTGCTGTCCGAAACCCTCGGTGTAACGTAGGAGCCTTAATGAATTAGAATAGGGCTTTGGGGTATTGGGATATTTTAACTAAACTATAGCCATAAATAGAACCCTAAACCCTAAACCCTAAACCCTGATTAATTCTACTTTTGCTTTCGTGAGTCCTTAATAAATAGAATAGGGCTTTGGGGTATACTAGTTCTAGTATAGCTATCGTAAGGAACGTCCCAAAATATAGGATTGGCAGTATAGGTGATTTATTTCGGCCCCCTAGATTAACGCCCCAGAGCGGCCCATGACGCGGGCCACCCACTCAAGAAACCCTGCATGCCTTATTGAACTTATTATTGTTGGGTTTTGGGTTTCGGAACTTATTATGAATCCAGACCCTTTTCTCGATCCTGACGGAACAGTCCTGCAAGGAACCGATGAAAGCCACATATGCCCTAAATCCCCATATCAGTCCGAAAGGGAGCCACAACAGGAGCCAAGGAAGGTAAACTCCAAAGTTTGTAAGTGCCCTGACAGGAGCCGCAGAAGGATTCAATTCAGGCACTGTCACCCCAAAGCTCTGAGGGATACCAGCCCTAGAAAGCGCTCTGCAACGATCCAAAGTGAACTAACTTAAACCTCCGTTACCCCCTAGAAGAAACCGAGACATGCCTAAAGACCCTTCCCTTAGGGATCCCTTTAAGGAGCCCTTTATGTCCCCCCCCATAGCTCCTTCTAAGTGCCCCTCGAAACCCTTAGGGCCTTAGGGTTCCCTTTAGAGGGCTAAGTTCAGTTGCGACGCCCCCTTTATAGAACCCTGATCGAATCCTTCTGGATCCCTGTCCAGATCGCCCGTTAAGGTCCTAAGTTCCTAAGTCCCAGGATCCTTGAAGTAGCCATCTAGAACCTTCATAGAATCCTTAGAAAATCCTTAGAGATCCCTTTAAAGGGCCCCCGCCTTAGAATCCTTAGAGATCCCTTTCAAGGGCCCCTTTTAAGCCCCCCCCTAAACCCTAAACCCTAAACCCCAAATTTAAAATCTGAACCCTGAACCCTCAACCCTAAACCCTAAACCCTAGTGGGCTCTCCACAGGATCTGCGGGAAAAGGCCCTCAAAACAAAAAAAGCAAACTAAACCCTGAACCCTAAACCTCCTTTTTTCAGGCTCGGACCCTCGGCTCTGGACCTGGGAGAGGAACTTGGAGAAGTTTGGGAAGTGGGCCTCGGGTGCCCTGGACCTTTTGAGACTAGGGTTTAGGGTATAGGGTTTAGGGTTTAGGGTTTAGGGTAAACCCTACACCCTAAACCCTAAAAAGTGGGCCTCGGGTGCCTTAGACCTGGCTCTAGGGGCTAAGGGGCTTTGGGGCTTTAAGGGGTGCCTGGACCTGGCTCTATAAAGGGGCTTTAGGGTTCAGGGTTTAGGGCTTTAGGGCTTTAGGGCTTTAGGGCTTTAGGGCTTTAGGGCTTTAGGGTTTAGGGCTTTAGGGCTTTACGGCTTTACGGCTTTAGGGCTTTAGGGGCTAAGGGGTTGGGAAGTGGGCCTCCGGTGCCGTGGACCTGGCTCTAGAGGGGATTTAGGGCTTTAGGGTTTAGGGATAAATTCTGAAACATACCGACCTGGCTCTAGGGGATTTAGGGTTTTAGGGCTTTAGGGGCTAAGGGGTTAGGGCGTGGGGTTAAGGGGCTAGGGGTTAAGGGGTTTAGTATAGGGGTTCAGGGGCTAAGGGGTTAGGGCTTAGGGGGTCACACGTTGATATCTGGCCGCGTGGCGGCCTCGACGTTTTAGGGTATACATGTTTATGTGACCAGGCCTCGTCTGGCTGAGCATCAAACATCCTCTTGCACATGTTGTATAAGCAGGCAACAACGCCGTAAACGGCAGGGCTTTGGTTTGGTTTGGGTAACCTCCCAACCCCCCCTCACCCGTTCCTTGAGACGGGGAAACATCGCTGAGAAGATTCTGTGACGCACTGTATGTCACACCGGCATGGTGAACATCATTAAGGTATAAATCAAGCATATATTGTGTATTTCTAGAGAGTGTTAAGATTGACATCCGAAGTGTGCGTTCAGAGGCACCACTGGATATCCCTTCGTGGATGCCGCGATGCTGGAACTGAAGTGCCCGGGCAGATTTCTGGCATTGCTGCAACTTGTGAGTGGCCTCTGTGTCACGCAAGACGTGCGTCGCAGATCGCGGAAAAGGTGCGGTGGTCGGAACTTCCATCATCGCAACGCTCTGTCCAGGTAGCGGCTGCACAGCCGTTGTGCTTTACCAGACTCGGAATGGATATGTAGCAGTGGCAATCGGGTGTGGCATCAGACGGCGCCCAAATACATCCTTTTAGGCCATCCTTCCGCAGGTTTGGGAGAGTTGTCTATTTGCTTACTCCTACTGAAGCTGAATCACTCTTAAACCCTAAACCCTAAACCCTTTAACCCTAAACCCTAAACCCTAAATCCCAGGCAGACGGGCTACATGCTGCACCTCAATCGGGAGACTGTGGGCTGGCCGCTCTGCTCAAAAATGAGACACCGGTCTTGAGCCAAGTGGTCTCTGGCTAGCTTGACTCTTCAAGAAGCTCCTGTGCAGTTGTGAAATGTATAGCTGCTGCTCCTTCTGGAATGCACTCGCTCTTGTGTGCTGTTTCCTCTCGAGGGGCCCCTTTAGCTATGGCACGCAGTTAGAAGACCTCAGGCGATGTCAGTGAAAAACTGTGCGTGAGCGTTTTGCGACGCTGCTGTGCCGCCTGAGTTTCTCAGGTGGTAGCGGAGCTCTGCGAGAGCTCGTTGCCTGTGCAGGAGCGCCGGGCGACTGTGCGGTGGAGCCACCTGTGTTGTCGAGAGCGACTACCTCTTTCTGAAGAAGTGAAATGCCTCCTAAGGCTGTGGAGGCGCCGATACCCACCTTGTCGCATGGAAATGGAGGCTGGAAGGATCGAGACCCACCTCCTCCCTACGACGGCAAGCTGCCGGACAAGACGTTCGACAGGTGGATGAAAGAGCTGCGTCTCTGGGAGTTCGAAACAGAGATTCCGAAAGACAAGTGGGGAGTGAAGATCCTACGACAACTCTCTGGAACTGCTAGAGCCGCAGCGGAAAGCTTGTCCTTCGAAGAACTTGCGTGTGAGGCCGGAAGAGACAACCTCATCAAGGCGCTGAAGGAGCACTTTGCACCCCACCTGGAGTCCTCCCTTCCTAGGGCTTTTGAGGAGGCCATCTACGGCGACATCAGGAGCTCGCGTGAGACCTTCGGCGAGTTTGTGATAAGGATGGAGCACTCCTTCAAGGAGCTCGAGAGGCAAGGCATCAAGCTCGGAGATGTGGTTCTGGGTTATGTTTTGTTTCGAGGAGCGAATCTTACCGAAGCCCAGGAGAACCAGATGTTGACTTGGGGTGAGGGGAAGTACGATCGCGCTACGGTTGTTCGAGGGCTGCGCAGGTTGGACAAGAATATCCATGAGGGCAGGAAGAAGAACTCAGCCTTCCTGCTAGATGACTCCGAGGATCCCGAGCACGAGCCCGAAGAGGAAAACCAGGAGACCTTTGTGGAGGCCCATGAGGACAGCGACGACGAGGACTATGTGTACATCGGCGAGGGCGAGATGCAAGAGATTTACGAGGAAGACCACGTCCAGGAGGCTTTGGCGACGTACCAGGATGTTCGGAAGTCCTTGAGGGACCAAAAGAACAACAGGGGTTATTACCCACAACCCTCCGGACGAGGTGCATCGTCCCCAGACCGAAAAGGCAAGGGCCGTGGCAAAGGCCAGAAGCCAACTTTGGCTTTCAAGGGCCGAGAGAAGGACTACGTCAAGTTCACAAAGAATGGCACGAAGATCCACGTGGACATGCTGAAGCTCAGAACGAGATGTGCCCGGTGCGGGGCCATAGGCCACTGGGCAAAGGAGTGCAAGAACCCTCCCGATGAGCGCGGCAGAGCTGCTGCAGCTATGAGGAGCAACTCGTCTGCTCCCTCCAATCAGAGTGGGAGATCTGGGTTCTTTGTCCGGAGCGATGGCGAAGCCAGCCCCCAGACCTTCGTGACAGCGATCGGGGAAAACACCGAGAGCAGCTTCAGCACGAGCCTCATGTCCTACATGCCCACCTTCGGGAAATTTATTCGCAGTGTAACCAGCCGAAAAGATGTAGATGTCCCGACGGAGACCGAGAGTGCCAACAACGAGTCACCAGTCAGCTTTGCCGGTGTTGTTACATGCCCGACGCAGGGAGTGGTCGACACGGCGGCCCAGGACGGCCTCATCGGGAAGGCGGCCCTGCTCAGGCTCATAGGCAGTTTGCGTGATCATGGTCTCAGGGTGAACTGGAATAAGACAAAGAGAGCGCAAGCATGCGGTGTGGGGGGCAAAGCTGAAGTGATCGGTATCGTGGAGGTGCCTTTGGGCATAGCCGGTGTCAACGGTTTGATGGAGTTGACAGTGATCGCAGACGATGTTCCTCTGCTTCTTCCGATCAAACTACTTAAGCAGTTGAAGGCTATTGTGGACCTCAACCAGAACATCTTGGAGCTCAAGGCTTACGATGTCAAGGCCCCTCTGATGCATCTACCATCGGGACATGTTTCAGTTGGAGTGACCGAGTTTGCACCAGGAGGTTGGAAGATTCCAAGTGAAGCCATGACTTCACGTTTGCAGCATGAGCAGTTCACTCTTGCCAGCAGCGGCTTCTTGAACCACAGCATGATTGCACTCGAGAGTGTCGCGAATTTCCCCTCTTCCGCATCTTCCGAGCATGGCGTCGCTTCTCTTGGAGCGGATGCTTGCGCAGCGGGAGGAGGACAATCGTCCCAGAGCCAGGCTTCCAGCGGGGATGGCCAGGAGCAGAAGAGCAGTTCGACGTTGGAGGCTTTTGGGAGAAAGGCTGGCAGACTTGATGACTCTGCTAAACATGCGAACAAAGGTCCAAGCTTGGCTTCCAGATTCCTTGTGGCCGCACTGGGGTTTCAAGCCATTGCAGGAGGTCCCATCTCCTTCTACCCCAAGAGCGCCCACTACTGCCGTGAAGATCAAAGTGGCGGACACCCAGCTGGAGTATGCGGAGGTGATCAAGTTTGCGGACTTTCTCGGTGTCCGTCAGAGCAAGGAGAAACCGGTTTCCCTGACGTCACAGTGTACGCATCCCATGAGGGAGTTGAAGGGTGCAGGGAATCAATACCGGAAGGAGATCTACTGCAACCTGTGCAAGGCAAGGTGGGAGTACCTTGCCCCGGAGGAGCTGAAGGTCCGGAAGGAGGCTCGAAGGTGTCTGGAGACATCGACTTCGACGGCGTCAATTCGGAGCATGGGACCCATGGAAGAGATGGTGAAGTGCCAATGCGGAAAACCAGCTCACCGCTGGGAAGTAAAGAAGCGAGGACCAACCTACGGTCGCCACTTCTATCGATGCCGCGAAAGAGTGTGCGAATTCTTCCAATGGGACAACCTGGAGCAGCTGGAGAAGAAGAACCAGATGGACGTCGAGGACCAGAACGCCGAGAAGCTGCAGGAGGAGATCCTCAAGATCCAGAGCCAGGCCGAGGATCATGTGAACCAGCAAGCATTCGAAATGCAGCAGGCGATGAAGGCTCAGGCCGATCAGATGAGCCAGAACTACCAGAACCAAATGGAGGCCCAGTCGAGCCACTACCAGAAGGAGATCTCAGAGTTGAAGGCTCAGATGGCTTGGATGCAAGGGTTTCTCGCCCAGGTTCAGAACAGCCAGGCTGCGGCGGGATCGGACGGCTTCAGTTTGGTGTCCGACCCTTCAGTCTGAAGGGACTGCCAGATGGTTTGGAGCCGGAACAGGTCAGTCTTATAAGTTCCGGGACGCAGTTGCTTACGGCCAGGCGATTGCAGATGAGAGCATTTTGCTCTTCAAGGGCATCCACACCATGGAGTATGCCAGTGTCAAGGTCGTTTTTCCTTTGGGATTCAGAAGCAGAAATGTGGAGAGAACAAAACGGCTGGGTGCCTAGGTCCTTGAAGCCCTCTCAGACTGCCCTGATTTGCTTTGAAGACAAGAACGAGATGGCTATGTGGAGCCTGGATCAAGGCAGAGGCAAGGCGCTGACCCACGGCCAGGGCAAAAAGATCAGCCGATCTCTCCAGGCACTTACCGACCTCAATGTGAAGAACGAGGATGATATGGTGTGGAGGCTAGTTTCACCAGAGTTTGATGCGAGTGTTTTTCAAAGTTCAGACGAGGCGATGGCCACTTTGGATCCGTCTTGTCAATCTTCACTATGGGACTCCTTGAGGAAGAGCTCTCCGAGACGGCTTACGCTCTTTCCTAGCCAGAGTGAGGAGTCCAGCGTGCTTGCTTGCGATGTTGCGGAGTGGCAGGCTTCGAATGGGAGGTCATTCGTCATGTTGTGCGCTGCGGGGACCGAGCTGGACTACGTGGAGGCAATCAAGGAGGAACAGGACTGGGTGCGCATGGTCAGGGAGAACGTGGTCTACGTGAGCAATGACCACCAGATGCTTGAGGAGGTGTTTGACTTCCCTCAGAATCACGAGGCACACCAGAACGAAGTCAATTGCTTCCCTCAGAATCACCACGCGCACCAGGACGAAGTCAATTGCTTCCATCAGAATCAGGAGGCGCACCAGGACGAAGTCAGTTGCTTCCATCAGAATCAGGAGGCGCACCAGGACGAAGTCAGTTGCTCCCATCAGAATCAGGAGGCGCACCAGGACGAAGTCAGTTGCTTCCATCAGAATCAGGAGGCGCACCAGGGGTCAAAATTTTATGTTGATGAGAGTCAGCACGGTGGGTCCTTTTTCAACCAAGAGAGTCAGCACGGTGGGTCCTTCTTGACGTCTGATCAAGTTCAGTGGGTCGAGGAGCGAGCAAAGATCATGTTGAAGCAGAAGGATTTCTCCTTGTGGTCCCTAGAGAAGATTCTCAACAACTTCCCGCAGAGTAAGTTCAAGCAGCGAGCCTCAGTGGACAATGGACAGTACCTAGTCTTCGGACTCTATGCGTATGGCAACCAGTATGGGCTGACAAACAGATCAGCCGAAATGCCGAACTTCGTCGTCTACGTCAACGAACTTCTCAGGTTTCAAGGCTATGGAAGGTTTCAAGAGAAGCCTACGTGGACCACCTTTGCGCTGGGGTTAAATGCTGGATCTCTACCCCACCGAGATGTCAACAACAGGAAGGGCTCTCGGAACTATGTGTTGGGACTCGGCAAATACCAGGGCGGAGAAGTTTGGGCGCAAGACGAGTCGTGCACGAAGATGCATAAGGTTCTGTCTGGAGGAGAGAAAATCCATGTTCGAAATTTGAACGTCAAGAATAAGATGTGCGAGTTCGACCCCAAGAAGTGGCATGGCTCGCAAAGCTGGACCGGATGCAGGTACGTCATTAGTGCCTACACTTCTCGAGGTTTCGATGAGGTGGACGAAGCGGAGGTGAAACGACTGAGACAGCTCGGATTCGAGCTACCGCGAGACCGCATCTATGTTATGTATGACGGCTCAGAACGTAGGACCGAGGAGAAGTGCAACAACGTGTTTGTCGAGGAGTACGAGATGGATGAACCTCAAGAAGAAGCTCCTCGACGAGCTCAGCCGCATGCAGATGAGAGTATGCGTCCTACCAACGAGGAGCTCAGACTGTTGCACAAGCTACATCAAAATCTGGGTCACCCTGGACCAAAGGAACTAGCTAGATCCTTGAAGCTAGCACGGGCGAAGCCACACATCGTCCGCTACATGGCCAGAGAATTCCGGTGTGAAGTGTGTGAGGCAAGGCCCAAGCCAAAGTCGGCCCGACCGGCGGTGTTGCCTAGATCCTACGAGCCCGGCCGAGTTGTGGGAGTGGATGTGATCTACCTCCGAGCTCTAGATCCTCGAGACAGTTTCCCATGCTTGAATATATGTGATTGGGGAACTGGATACCAGATGGTTGAGCGTCTTCGAAGTGTTGAGGCAGACCACACTTGGAGAACCTTTCTTCGAGTTTGGGGACGCACCTTTGGTATTCCGGAAATCATCATCCCAGACCTCGGAACTGAGTTCAGAGGCGTGTTTGCAGATCAAGCCGCGCAAGCGGGAGCGCTAGTGAGACACACTGGCGCTCGTTCACCGTGGCAGGCCGGGAAGACTGAGCGAGCGGGAGCACACTACAAGGCAATCCTGGAGAAGGCCCGCGACATGGCGCAGATAAGTTCCTGGGAGGAACTCAAGAGTCTCATGTTGGAAGTGGAGGCAGCCAAAAACCGGTATGGGAACCGGAGCGGATTCTCGCCTATGCAAAGGCAGATTGGACATTCGCTACGACTGCCAGGATCTCTGCTTTCGGACGATTCCATCGACCCAACCATGGTCGTGCAGAGTGCCGGGGATGAGATGAGAAGACTGCTCGAGATAAGGCAGCATGCTCAGGAGGCTTACATGAAGACTCAAACAGAGATCGCTATCACCAAGGCCAAAAACGCGAGAACTCGCAGGACGCTGAACTTCGTGGTGGGAGAGACGGTGTATGTCTTTCGGCAGCCTAAGGAGAGGAAGCGGAAACATGCCATGACCCCAGAAAGCCACGAGAGCCGCAAGCCTATATGGGTCGGCCCAGGGATCGTGCTAGCGATCGAAGGCCCCAATTTATGGGTTTCGATGAAAGGCGAATTATGGAAAGTCAGCATGGAGCAGTGCCGCCCGGCAACAAGTGAAGAGCAATTCGCAAAAGAAATGTTGGCTGGAGAACTCGAAGCGCTGAAGGAAGAGCTTGGACGTGCGAGCACGAAGAGGTCCTACAAGGACATGACGGAGGACGGAGTGCCTGAAGCCGAACATGCCGATGATCAGCCTGTTCAGGCAGGGCAAGAATGGGTACCCGAACCACAACCACAGCGACCTCGACTGGAAGATCCTGCTCAGGTACCAGTTCCTCCTGGAGAAGTTCCGGATGAAGTTGAAGAGGCGCTCAGGACCCCGGCTGGACTGGAAGGAGCGCTGGATGAGCTCAGAATGCGTGGTTCGCTGGACAGACAGGTTTCAGTGCGAGAACCAGAGCCTCTTCCTACACCCCCAGAGAGCATGATGCGACATACTTCATTGGGTTCCCGAGCACCAGAACTTCAAGAACCACAACCTCAAGCGCTTCAACCTCAAGTACCACAAGCTCCAATAGTTGCTAATCCAGTTGGAACGGCAGCGCAAGTGATGAGAAATGAGATGCTCGATGGCAACTTTCCTGGAAGCCCGCCCTACGAAGCTGCGCGAAGACTCAATCGTTATCGACCGCAAGTTCAACGACCATACTTCGTTCAGAAACAAGGCTTCGACGATGGCAAGGCCTGGTTCTCACTAGATGAGAATGGATGGAACTGGGAAAGAGACTGTTGGGAAGAAACGAGCAGGGAGCTGATCGTTCGACATCATGCAGAACCCCGAGATGAACTATGTGATCCCAACAAGGTCAAAGGAGCGCTGATGCCCAGAAGGCTCAAATATCGGAGCACCTATGCCATTGACGAGCTCGGGAATGTGCAAACCTTCCAAGACAACTGGGTACGTGCTAGGAAGAAGGCCTCCAAGGTCGGATGCAGTTGGACTGGCTTCACAGTGTTCAGCTCCAAGCCAGTTGATTTGGAAGTTTTTGCCGGAGGAAAACCGCGAGGACAAGGAGAAATCTTCGACCACGAGATCAAGGCGGAGGACAGGGCAGGCTGGCGGGAGACAGATCTTCAAGAATGGTCAAAAGTGGTTTCCACGGGAGCCGTTCGGGTGTTAGATGTGAAAGAATCCAGAGAAGTCCGAGCGAAGCTGGAAGCCGAGGGCAAGTTGGAGCGAATTCTACCATCCAGAATGGTGAGGAGGATGAAACCAGCCGAACAACCTGGCGAGCCAGATGTGCGGAAATCTCGTTGGTGCATCAGAGGAGACAAGGACCCCGACCTTCTGTCCCTTGAAAGATTTTCCCCAACCCTGTGCTCAACCACGTTTGGAGTGCTACTTCAAGCTTGTGCGTCGATGGGATACGCCGCGAGTGTTGGAGCGTTGAAAAATGCATTTTGTCAAAGCTTACCACTGAAGCGAGCTGAAGGTGCTCTCTACGCTATGCAACCCAAGGGCGGAATCGAGGGACTCCATGAAGAGCAGTTGATACAGATCATTGCAGGATGCTATGGACTTCCTGACGCTCCTATGCATTGGCGTAAGTCACTCAAGGAGAGCAGCCTCACTCTCGGATATCGGGAAAGTGTTCTCGACCCCACCGTGTACCTTCTTCACGACGAGCACAAGCTTCAAGGCGCAATTGCGGTGGAAGTTGACGATCTGTTCAACTTCGGAAGTGACCTCCACTACCAAAAGATGGATGAGCTCAAGCTGAAGTACAAGTTTGGTAAATTCGAAATGCTTCGTGGCAACGAGAGTGGAGTGGGATTCAACGGCCGCAGAATCAAACAACTTGATGATTATGGGTTCGTCGTCGACATGATGAAGTTTGTCACGGAACGGTTGGAGCCGATACAGTTCGCGAAGGGCAGAAAGAGTCAGCCGAAGGCGTTAGCGAATGAGTCGGAGATCGCTCAAGCCAGAGCGGTAGTCGGGAGTCTCAATTGGGCTTCACGGGAAGGAAGACCAGATGCCGCTGCAGCAGCCTCTTTGAGTTCGTCAAAGTTTCCTAAGCCGATCATCGAGGACTTGATCGACATGAATAAAGCGGTGAAGATGATAAAAGCCCGTCCCGACTTGAGCATCAAGATCAGGCCTATCAAGCCTGAGTGCCTCGCGTGGGGAGTCATAACAGATGCGTCCTTCGACAACGCAGGTGACGGAAGGAGCCAAGGAGCTTTCGGCGTGATCGCATTCCATGAGGACCTACAGAAAGGCTTCAGAGTTCCCTGCTCCCTGATCACATGGAGAAGTGGAAGGATTCAAAGGGTTGTGAACTCCACGCTTGCTGCAGAGACTCAGAGTTTGTCCAAAGGACTGGGAGAGCTTTGTTGGATTATGTCTGCGTATAACGAGGTGATGGACCCCGACTTCACGATCGAGCAGTGGGAGACTAGGATTTCCAAGAACAAGGTGCTTGCCATGGTGTCCGACGAGTCGACCAAGGACTTTAAGGAGGCTCTGTGCATTGTGGATGCCAAGGCCTTGTACGACCACCTGTCCCGTGAAAGTGTCGGACCTTCTCAAGATAAGCGTACAAGCCTGGAGATTCAGGTAATCCGACAAAACATGAATGCCATCAACGGGAAGATCAAATGGGTGCCCCATACACAGATGGCCATTGACGGCTTGACCAAGAAGAATGCGAACATGGACTCGCTCTATCAGCTCTTGGATACTGGAGAGTACCAGATAGTGGAGATGGCAAAGGCCCTGCAGGAAAAGAAAGAAGAGCGAGAGCAGCGAGGATACAATCGTCGCTAGCATGTACAGTGCTTTCCAGAAGCGAATTCCGGGGAGCTGTGAAATGTATAGCTGCTGCTCCTTCTGGAATGCACTCGCTCTTGTGTGCTGTTTCCTCTCGAGGGGCCCCTTTAGCTATGGCACGCAGTTAGAAGACCTCAGGCGATGTCAGTGAAAAACTGTGCGTGAGCGTTTTGCGACGCTGCTGTGCCGCCTGAGTTTCTCAGCAGTTCAACGAACACCACAGCATCAGAACCCCTAAACCCTGAATCCTAAACCCTGTAAGGCCTAAACCCTAAACCCTAAATCCTAAACCCTGTAAGCCCTAAACCTGTAAGCCCTAAACAAATCAGAGCATGCTACCATGCTACCGGGTGCCACTGCCTTCGAGGAGGCCTGTCCAGCACTAAGCCGCGCAACGTCTGGAATCTTGCAGTTCAGCTACTTTAACCTCTGGAGCTTGGGTTTAGGATTTAGGGTTTAGAGTTTAGGGTTTAGGGTTTAGGGTTTATGGCTAGTATATGGACAACGCAGGGTTTTGTCAAAACCCTCAACCCCCAAGCCCCTAAGGCCGCCAACTAACCCCCCGAGGTTCTTCGTCCGCGATCTTCAAGTCGACTGGCGACTGGCAGCCGAGTGGTTCGAGAGCCGCCTCCTGGCACCTTGGCCTTATCAAGGAATCCCTACCACAAAGGATCATGGGACTTAGTATCTAAGGTTATTATTGGGGTAACTATACATATAAGGACTTATAACCCCAATTAAGGTACTTATAACCATACTTACCAAGTCCCATGATCCTCCAAGTAAGGTTGAACCCATGGGCCCCTAGTATGGGCCCTTAGCCCTGGGATCCTTATACACCTACTATATACCCTAGGTGTACCCTTAAGGGTCCCTAGAAAGGCCTATATAAGGATCCATATTAGGGGCCCATACTTCTAACCTTAGATTCCTGTTCAGCGAGTTTGTTGTGCGTTCTTAGGGTTTTTAGGGTCTTGAAGGTCTATAGGGATTTAGCGTGTCTCGGGTTTTTTATGCTTGTGGGGTTCCGGCGATTGGGGTAGGGATCAGGGCACAGTTCAGGATTCGATTTCTCTCTCTCAAGCCCGTCTCAAGTAGTGCTGGAAGACTGTCTCAAGCAAGATGCAGGGGCTTCTTTTGGGTAGATGTAGGGTTATGAGCTCCTGGAATGTGATAAACTGAGAGATACTAAGCCGGTAAGTAGCCCCAGAGCAGCACAAGGACTACGACTGCGTGCTGAACTGGGGCAACTGGGCCTCTTGACTGATTCTGTCGGCTTCGGTGTCGAACTTGTAAGTTTTCTATATATACATATGTATATATATATACATATGTATATATGATATATATATATATACATACATTTATCTATTTATTTGTTGATCGCTACCTGAGTAAGAAAATGCTTGCCAATTTTTCTTGATCCTTTCAGCCGCCTTAGCAGCTTCATGCTCCCTGCAGCATGCCGACCAGATCTCTAAGCTGGACCGCGTACCCACGGAACGATTTTGCTTGGAGCTCGCCGGGCTCGGTTTCTTCAGGGTGGCGATCAATTTGAGGGTTTAGGGTTTAGTGTTTAAGGTTTAGGGTTTAGGGTTTAGTGTTTAGGGCCTAGAAAATCAGGCCTACTTCATCCTGACCCAGCTTCCAGCACGCGAAGATGACCGTCCTGGTGGCGGGCCGCGATACACACTCCCCAGGCAGGGAAGCCCCAAACTCCAAGACCCTCACTGCCAACGAAGCGCGCTCAGTGAGCTTTTCTTGGCTTCCTGAACCCTAAACCCTAAACCCTAAACCCTAAAACCTAAACCCTAAACCCTAAACCCTAAACCCTAAAAAAAAAACCTTCCTTCATGCCTCGCGCCTGCCCCATCTTCAGGTACTCTCCCTACCTGATGGCCACACAGGCTCCATGGGCCGGGTTTTCCTTCCTTCTCCTGCCACCTGCAGCTAGAAGCCGCAGAAGAAGGGTGGTGGTAGTGCAGCATCAGGACCGGAGCATCAGGAGCGGAGAGGTAGCAATAACGCAGTAGTAATACCAGTTCTTGCGATTGCCATTGGAAGCGTGTTCATTCAAACTATCCCAAGCTGCCCTTCAATGACAGCCCCACGTCGACCTGGAGGTGCTCGGCTGGGGTCGAGATCATGACCCATCCGCCGGATACGCCTCTCGGCTGTGCCTGTTGAGAGACCCCAAGGCGGAAACCCTACCATGCTGAAGCCACAAGGCCAAGTGCCCAGTCCCACACTTTAGCCTTGCTCCTTTGCATTGTAGACACCCGGATATAGGTGCATCAATAATCTTAATAGGGATATTGGGGGTATATTACAGTATACCTTAATTGTAACACGGAACCCCCAAAAGAGTATTGGTAACTATGTCGGGCCCTACAGTAATAGCTCTGAGGTGAAAAAGTGGATCCGAAGCCTGGGATCCCTGCCGGCAGAGTTGGCGCGAGAGCCCTGGAGCCTTGGTGAAGGAGGCTAGCAAGATAGGGTTTAGGGTTTAGGGTTAAGGGTTTAGGGTTTAAAGGGTTTAAAGGGTTTTAAGGGTTTTAAGGGTTTTAAGGGTTTAAGGGGCTTATAGGGTTTAGGGCTTTAAGGATTTACGGGTTTTATGAAGGGTTTAGGGCTTAAAGGGTTTAAAGGGCTTAAAAGGTTTAAAGGGTTTAAAGGGTTTAGGGCTTTAAAGGGTTTAGGGTTTAAGGGGTTTAGGGCTTAAAGGGTTTAGAGTTTGGGGTTTAAAGGGTTTAGGGCTTAAAGGGTTTAAAGGGTTTAGGGTTTAAAGGGTTTAAAGGGTTTAAAGGGTTTAGGAGTTAAAGGGTTTAGGGCTTAAAGGGTTCAGTAAAGGGTTTAGGGTTTAAAGGGTTTCGGTGTTGCTAAGGTGAGAAAGTAGTTCTCTAAAGTAGCGTCCCCTTTAGGATCCTGTTGTATAAGGGTGCCGTACTACTTTAGGGACCTAGAAAGGGACCCTCATTTAGAGAACTACCCAAGGATGCTTCCCTGAATCCCGAAGCCCTCACCCGAACCTTCCATGACAGCTATGAGTGTGAGGGGGTGAGACCAGTCTTCGGCGTGGAGTTGTTGGCTTTATCGACTTCTCCCCAGCCTTGGCCGTGAGCTGAACAAACTCAGGCCCAACCCTAAACTCGTCATTTGCGGAGCAGTACACTTGAAGAAAAATCTCTTCAGCCAAAACCTGGACCCGAAACAGTCGGAAGAGACATCCGCACCCCCCCAAGTGTTGCAAATACTTTGTGAGACTTGTAGTGGCAGTTACAACAGGAATCAGAGCAATGATAACAGCAAGAATGATCATAATAATCATAATTCATTAGAAACATACTAGTCATAATGAGAAGCATACTACTCAACGACTCCCCCATGCTCTGAGGAAGCTGCAGGCCGGCGACCTCGACCTGGAACCGGTGAGCGACGATTTTTGGTCCTGCGCCACCCGAAAGCAGACACGTTGAGCGTATAGTAAAACAAAAAAATCTATGATGTATGATGTTAAAATTTCATACGATGTGAATGTACTGTCACGATGTATGCATGATGTAAGAGAACACGTTGTAATACAACGTGGATATACTGTTGCCTACTCAACTCCGTGCACGGATAGCGGAATCCACAGACAGGGAAGGCAAAGCGAAGCAGAGAGAGAGTCTGTCATCCTGAGTTCCCGAAACTTGGCTTAGTAGCAGTAGTAGTAGTAGTAGTAGTAGTAGTAGTAGTAGTAGTAGCAGTAGCAGTAGCAGTAGCAGTAGTAGTAGTAGTAGTAGTAGTTGTTGTAGTAATTAGTAGTGAGTAGTAGTAGTAGTAGTAGTAGTAGTAGTAGTAGTAGTAGCAGTAGTAGTAGTAGTAGTAGTAGTAGTAGTAGTAGTAGCTGGTGTAGGTAACCCCCTAACCGTTATTTTCGGGCACTGCAATCCCTAGACAATCCCGAAGGTTCATCTTAAGGTCCCGTAGGTACTGGACGAGTAGGTTAGTAACCCCCATAACCAAAAGCTGCAAAGCATAAGACATCAAGAGAGACGCCCCAAAGAAGCAGATGGTGATGGAGGTAGGTGTTCCGCAGGGAGAGGTCTTCTGTCACCACACATAATTTCCTGAATACGCGTGAAGGAACGACGGTAGGTGGAGACTCTGTGTTCCAGGTTGACTTGAACCGATCACCTCAGTCTTTTGGAAAGGCTGGGGGTCAATTCGAATGGTGGAAACTGCACGGAGCGCAGGATCGACACCGTGTCTATACCCAGAGAGCCCAATACCCCTTAAATAAGGAATATACCTTAAACTATAGGGGGCCTTAATATTATGATTTAAGGTATATTCCTTAATTAAGGGGTATTGGGCTCTCTGGGTAGAACGTGCACATGTGGTATCCGCAAATGCAGAGCCACGGGGTTGTTTTGTGTCAACCGCATGCACGAACAGCAGAAATAGCACGGGGAACCTGGTGAGCGGGTGACTGCATCTCATCCTCTGCAACCTTGAGCCTACCACCCCATTTTCTCCACGCTTTTTCCATGGGCATCGATAGAACGACCGGCTTGTCCCTTTGAATGGCGGAGTACTTGACATGGCTTGGTCGCAAGTGGCGGTATGGGTGTGGTGCTTGTGTTTATCTCAGGCAACGTGCACGCTGCACAACCCACCGACAAATCGACGATGCGAGGCGCGACGGCTCGGGTGCTTTCGAGCCTGGGATGGGTGGCATTCGGAGGTACCACTGTGCCACCACAACTTCAAGAGCTTCAGCCCAAGAATCCAGAACAAATGCTGAGCAGCAGCTATTGCAGCGGAAGTTCAGCCCGAGCCCTGCGCTTCTTGATGAGAACTGATGGCTTTATGTTGCTGAAGGGTGCGAGCTGGATGCACTTGCGGACAGCTTGTTCTTGTTCAAGCGACTGCTGTTGGGGTGTGAGGTTTTCGGGCGCAAGGGTCTGCACAAGTGGAGGCCTGCAACAGCCGGCGCCCTGCTTGTTCATCTGCAAACACCACGGCGCTGGGCATCTACGCAGAGCAGCCGATGGTGCCTCCACCTCCCGAGGAGGGCGGGTGCCGCTGCGCTGTCGCTAGGAGAATAGGCCCAAAAGATCTCGCACATCAGCGTTGCTATCAAATGCCCATGGCTCAGCTTGCCCAATTCCGAACTCCCCCAATGTGGTGGGAGGACAGCATGGGTCTTTGTGCGAATTGTGGCAGCGTGGACGCCGGCTGGGCCAGCGAGGCCCCAGCGGATTGGAGCGACTCCTTAATGGCTATAAGGCTATGTCTAACACGGAGTGACTGTTCTTGGGTTCCCCCAGGGCTCCAAGCACCTACTTTCGGGTCTAAAGTCTATAAATAGTACCTAGTTTGGGCTATTT